CTCTTTCCTATTCTTTCTTTATGTTTTATCCCCTCTTCAGTCTTTCCTACTTTAATTACTGTCTCAGAAGTATATGTTGGGACCAGCAGTTAGCGTAATGGCTATGTCGCTGGACTCCCACGTAGTTGACCGCAGTTCGAGTCCCGGACCCGGTGGCTTAAACTCACGTCGGGCGCGTGTGTGTGCGTGCCCAAGATCCTGAGAGGAGAATGGAGGAGAAGGGATTGCGGCGTGGCCAATCACCCAGGGGGTGATTTCCTGCTTTCTGTCTCTCTGTCTCTGTCTGTCTGTCTGGCGAGTGCACGTGCCCTATAGCAAAGACCTCTCAAAAAAAAAAAAAGTATATGTTAATGCTGACATAGGTTCATTGGTACAAATAAACCTCTGCCTCAAATCTCAACTAACTTCGGTGCTGTTATTAGCTTAATTTCTATTGTGATTCACTCTGTTTAATAATTCAGATGGAATCCTGATAGTTTTCTCCCCGCAGATTATTTGCCTACATGCCTGTTCTCTTTATCTGCAATTTGCTAAACAAATTTTTTTATCAGTTTTCCCTCTTCATATACCTGTAACGACCATCAGTTCTTCTGTAGCTTAACTCATTTTCCTAGACAAGACTTATCTATTTACATAGGTACCATGTGATTCATTACAAATGCAAACAAACAAACACACACATATCACTATCCTGTGTAGAAGACTTCAGGGATTCCTCATTATATATAGAGAATCTTGGACATGAGGTTCAAGGCCCTGAGTGATTTGCTTTCTGCATACCTCTCCAGACTCATTTTCCCCCTTCTTTCATCTTCTAGCAATAATGAGCTACTAGCAGTTCCCTAAATCATTGTGTCATCTCTTGCTTTTCTGCCTTTGATTATGTTATCCTCTTTCCTTTCAATACTCTCTCTTCTTTTTTCTTTGGGAAAATCTAATTAATTCTTTCTTGTTTATTTTGCCATAGGGGACATACGCTCATCAGAGGGAGACAGAGAGAAGGAAAATAAGAAACAATTTCCCAAAAGGGATGACTGCACTGCAAGTCTCTTCTCCTTCTTCATTCTCCTCTCGAGATTTTGGGTGCACACTCACATGTGCCCAGCATGATTTTCAAGCCACCAGGTCCAGGACTTGTACCACAGTTGCCATGTGGGAATCTAGTACTTTAACCTCCATGCCGCCTGCTAGCTTGTGATTACCCATGTTAAGGTTTACTTTGTCTTCTGTGCTCCCATAGCACAGATCTTGGCCTTGAGGTCAAGGTTTGTGGATTAATATTTAAGTATACTGTAGCTACTTAAAACTTCGTCTTAAGTGACCAGATATGTAAATATTGGTATTTACCTAGACTTAGTATATGTACTTGCTCCTTCTGGCCTTACTGATTTCTCTGTTCCGGTCTTTGGTAGTAACTCTTGGTTAAACTACTCAAGTCCACGATGACTTACCCAAAAGTTTATTCAATGCTTAAGATATGTAATTATCTCTTCATTCAGTACTTAAAATATGCAATAGTCCACATTTAAATGTCATCACCACTACTCTTATTACTTCTGTTTTTTTCCCCATATGTGATACTTACTTTTTGAAGAAGGAAATATTTTTGCTATACCATAATTGTCTGATATAATGAGAAAGAAATTTTTTCTTTGTATTTTCAATTGTTCATTGAGAAATTATAGTTGTGTGTATTTATGGGGTATGGGGTGATGTTATGTTTTATGAAAACAGTGTGAAATACTTAAATCAGGCTAATTAGCATATTAATCACCTCAAATACTATTTTTTTTTCTAGTGAGAACATTTGAAGCGTACTATTAGCAGTTTTGAAATGTACTGCGTGCAGTTAGGAACTACATTCACCACACAGTATAATTAACCTAAACAAACAAATCCTTATTTCTTCTGTATGAAGCTTTATTGTTTCCTCACGGTCCCTATTACCCTGCCTCTGGTAATCACTATACTATTCTCAGCTCCTATGAACTCGTTGTTGTATTTTCTATATGTAAGTGAGAACATATAGTATTTATCTTTCTGTGCCTGGCTTATTTCAGAATAACTTTCTCTAATACTATTGATACTGTTGCAAGTGACAGAATTTTCCATTTTAAGGCTGAATAATATTCCATTGTGAATATGTATGACATTTAGTTTGACTTATGTTTTTGTTTTTGTTGCCTGTGCTTTCGAGGTCTTGGTCTAAAAGTTCCTGCCCAGAGCAATGTCATGAAGCATTTCCCCCTGTATTTTCTTATAGTATTTTTATAGTTTCTGTTACACATTGTCTCCTATCCATTTTGAGTTGATTTTTTAATTTCCTCTGAAGTAAGGGTCTAATTTTATTCTATTGCATGTGGACATCCAATTTTCCTAGCACCATTTATTGAATAGACTGTCCCTTCCTCATTATGCTTTCTTGGTACCGTTGTTGAGCATGTGTAGACTTATTTCTGATCTTTGTACTCTGTTCCACTGGTCTGTGTATCTGTTTTTATGTCAGTACCTGCTGTTTTAGTTATATCTTTCTATCTTTAGTTATATGTTTATATCTTTGTAGTCAGATTATGTGATGACGCCTCCAGCTTTGTTCTTTTTGCTTAAGCTTGCTACGGTTATTTGGTATCTATTGTAGTTCCACATGAATTTTAGGATTGTATTTTCTATTTTTGCAAAGAATGCCATTGTCATTTTAATAGGCATTGTACTGAATCTATAGATCTTTGGGTAGTATGGACATTTTAATAATATTTGTTTTTAGGTGGAGCTGCTAAGTTGAATGAGCTGCTATGCTTAGTATAAATGTCTAATTGAGGTTTGCCTCCCTACCTAGGCAAGGGCCTTTGGGTAGGCTTTGAGGCTGAGATAGCTTTCATTCACTTACCAGGTATGGCAGATTTAGGCCCTCCACTTTGCTGATATTCACTTTGGTGAGCATCTCTTTCCTTCCCTGGAATACTTCCAAACATGTTTTATGAGGATGACATTATTGTAATACTCAAATGAGACAAGGACACAAGAACAAAACACTGTAGCTATAGGCCAGTGGAGAGTTTGAGGCTGGGCCTGGAAGCTGGTAATCTAGGGTTTCAAGTCAGATAAAACTGGCTGCCACTTCTGGGGGTGACTAGCTTGGCTTTGCACATGGGCTGTGCTGTACCTCTGCTGTCAGGTACACAGAGCTACACCAAAATCTGAGTGTGGGTGTCTATGTCTCCTCCTTGCTTTGTTTCTTTCTGCCCCAGGTGTTCTAGCTATGCCATTTTACCTTACTGTCTTTGTGAGGTGAGACTGGAGTGGGCAGTTTAAGAAGCCTTTTAGATTGCCAGGGAATCTGAAAACCTCTTGTTCTCTTTCCTACAGTTGAAACCATGAGATCTAGCCATCTCTCTTCACGTGGTGCTGTGCTGACTTACAGTGCTAGGGACAGTGTGATCGAAGTGAGACCGAGTCCCTTACCTTGTCTGTTTTTTAAATTTTTTAAATTTCTTGTATTTATGAAAGAGAGCACATGAAGGGGGGGCACTTTAAAAGGTCAGATCTCATCATTCCATAATCCCTTTTCTCCAGTCCTTCATCTCATCAAGGTCTTGGGCAAGTACCATGTACCTAGCATGTCAGTTTGCTTCCAACTGTGTCACTAGGCTGGACCTCTATTACTCTTTTAATGCATTTTTTATTCAGTTTATAGAACACACAGGTGACTCAGGTCTATATTAAAGTTTTGGGGTTTTCACAAAGATGTTCTTTGTGGATAGTTACAAGTTCATCTTTTCCTGAGGTGTAATGAAATGTGGAGCTCTTTATTCTATCATATGACTGCCATGCTAATAGCCCTTTTGATGTTTCACTCACTAGGCAGGCTGGTGTGGCTCTAGCAAAGTACATTTATAATGACAACCAAGGTACCACTGTTGTGTGACTGAAATTCAGAAGCAAAATGCCAAAAAAGATGAAAGAGTACATTTTTAAGTTTAGTCAATTTCAAATTTTGACTGTGATGACCGTATATAAGTTTTGTTGCTGACCCCTGTGACAGTGATATTGTTTCTCATCATTTAGAATCATGAATTGCCCACTGTGTCCTCAAAACACAATTTTTAAATTTGTGTTTTGATTCCTCTCACTGCTGATGGTTTCTTTTTAACATCTACTGGTTAGAAATGTTCATTTTCTGTTGTTCTTTCCAGGTAAAATATCATCTGCGTTTCGGTAATTTCAGTTATAACAATGTTGCATCTAAGGCAAACATAAGGAGTCAGTCTTGGAATACATCTGCTCTCTTTCCAACAACACCTTCTCTAGGACCCAGGAACCCGGATAAAGCAGATGGGGGTTCCGGTAAGCAGAGCCTTAAGCATACATAAAAATCTTTGTTGTTGCATGCTAGCAGTCATTACATGTGTAACTCCTTTTTGTCACGTGCTGGTTCCCACATGTGTAACTCCTTTTTGTCAACATGTAAGAAACTTGTTTATTCATTGTGGCAGTAAATTTTTGAAAATTAATTTTATTGTAAAGCCAAACATAAAAAAAACCTTATACATTTGAAAAATATCTTTATATTACCTTGAATAATTTTCTGAACATAGTACAATATATCTATGCAATGTTTATATCTATTTATTTAGATATAAAATTATCTATCTATATATGTATAAACTTTATGTAGGTAGTCACAGCAAGAGTTTTAAAGAATTAATGAGAGTTCCTAAAGAAAAAAGGAAGAGGGAGAACAATGAAAGGAGAGAAGATAATATATAACATGTTCAAAGCAAGATGTAGTACAATGATTCAGAGAATTGCTAGTGCTTCATTATCCCAGAGTATGAAGTTCAAAGATAGAAGAGGCAACATGAGTCTGCAGAACACAAGTCACTCAGAGCCTTGTACCCCCTGCCTAGGAATTCCTGTATGTAGTGGAGGAACCCCTGAAGTCTTCTACACAGGACAGTGATATGATCTTTTTTGAATTCATAATGAATGCTGTGATACTTACGTAGATGAATTCAAGTATTGTCTAGGAAAATGAGCCAAGATTCAGAAGGACTTGTGAATATAGTAGGTTTAATATATA